TAATTCCCTTAGTAATCAAATTGGTTTTAAGAGGGAGAAGATCTTGTACTATTTTCCAACAAACTATCCTTATTTTAGGGGTTACGTTTGTCTTCCAGAATCGCTTCCAAAGCTCGGATTGTAGGTTCGAATTTGAAGAAGAATCTGACAGGATTACTTCCCTTTGCAAACCCAACTGATAAGCACTCTTTACCGAGAAAAAACCATTTTTAGACAATCACCAAATTATCTCGTCATCTTTATCATAGCTAGACAAAGGAATTTTCAGGGTTTTATCATAGGCCAATTTTAGCTGACTGGCTGGGTGTTGGTGAGATCAATGAGAAGAAAAGGAAGGGGCATAGACCTTGACGGTTCGAGGAAATACGGCTCTCTTTTGGAGAATATAAGGATATCATAAAATGAGTAGGGACTGAGCAGGGGGATAGCAGTGGGTTAGTTTTCCATAGAAAGAGGCTGAGATTCAGGAGTTATTCTGTCAGGGCGATAGTGGTTGGAGAAATAATCTTTGGCAAGCTGAGCGTGTTCTAGAACGATTGTTAGAGGAGGACAAGATGTACTGGAGACAATGGTCCAAGGATGATTGGTTACTGAAGGGCGATAGGAACACAAAGTGGTTTCATCTGAGAGCCAGTCAGAGGAAGAAGGCTAATAGAATATGGGGGTTGTACAATGAGTCAGGCAACTGGTGTAGTCGGGAGGAGGATGTTGAGAGGATTGCCTCTTATTATTTCACTCAGATCTTTTTGTCGTGCAATTCTAGTTCCCAAGATATGGGCCCAATTCTAGACTCCATCTCGCCAAAGCTATCAGAGGAGCAGAACAGGTGGCGCTGTCTAAAGCCGCGGGACCTGACAGGGTTCAAGCTTCATTTTACCAAACCTTTTGGGATATTGTGGGAGAGGAAACTACCAACATCTGCCTTAATGTCCTTAATGGTTATGTGGATGTGGGTCGGTTAAACAAAACACTCATTGTTCTTATCCCAAAAAAGGACTCAAGAAGGAAGACGGACTTCAGGCCTATAAGTCTTTGTAATGTTATTTACAAGATAATCTCAAAAGTGTTGGCGAATATGGTGAAGAGGGTTTTGGATGAGTTAATTTTCCCCTACGCAATCGGTTTTGTCCGGGGTAGGTTTATATCCAATAACGTCATTATAGGATCGAATGTATTCATTCTCTTCAAGGCAAAACAAAGGGGAAGTCAGGGGCTGTGGCACTAAAGCTTGATATGTCCAAAGCTTATGATCGAGTTGAGTGAAGTTACTTGAGAATGGTTATGGCCAAGTTGGATTTCAGCTCTAGGTGGATTGAGTTAATTATGAATTGTGTGGAAACGGTGAATTTTTCGATCCTTATCAATGGGAGCTCGGGCCCTTCTTTCAAGCCAAGTAGAGGGCTACGTCAAGGAGATACTCTATCCTCTTATCATTTTCTATTGTGCTCTGAAGATTTTTCTGCTTTTCTTGCACGAGAAGAAGAGAAAAACAACTTGTCTGGTTTTCGCATTAATAAATATTGCCCCTCTCTAATGCAGTTGTTTTTTTTTTTTTTGCAGATGACAACTTAATCTTTTTCGGTGCAACTCCAAAAGACTGTCAGACTGTTAAATGGGTGTTAAAGTCCTACGAGAAGGCTTCGGGGCAAACTATAAATCTGGAAAAGTCCTTATTCATAACTAGTAGAAACACAAGTCAAGATATGATTGAGGTCATTAAATCAAAGCTTCAAGTTCAGTATTCACCGTAGTTGGGACAATATCTTGGCCTTCCTTCGCAGATTAATAAAAGCCGGTGTGCAATGTTTCGCTCCCTGATTGAAAGAGTTTGGAAGAAGCTCTAAGGTTGGAAAGGGAAGCTCTTCTCAATAGGCGGTAAGGAGGTCCTTATTAAGGCAGTAGCACAGGCTATCCCCAACTACACATTGAGTTGCTTTAAGTTGCCGGTTACCATTTGTAAAAAACTGCATCAAATTTATGACCAGTTTTGGTGGGGATCGACCTTTGAGAATCGAAAAAATCACTGGTAGAACTGGAAACGGCTTTGTATTCGAGAGGACCAGGGTGGTATAAGGTTCCGAGACATAAGCATCTTCAACTAGGCTATGCTGGCTAAGCAAAGCTGGAGAATCCTGAGAAATACCAATAGTCTTCTAGCAAGAATCTTGAAAGGAAAATATTTCAAGACTGGTTATTTTTTGAAAACTATAATGGGGCCTAAGCCTTCTTATGCTTGGAGAAGCATTTTGTGGGCAGGACCTATTCGAGAAAGGATATAGATGGAGAGTGTATAATGGTTTCAGTATTAATATAGGCTCGGAGCCTTGGATTCCTAGGGATGGGTCTCTTACTCCATGTTTACCCCTACCCACCTTCGTGAGTTTCCAATGGCTTGGCCAATGTCCGGAAGGGCCAGTGGGACGAGGGAAAGATTCGAAGCACATCATATTTTTGTTACTCTTCACTGTTTGGTAAAAGTTATAATTAAGGTGAGTAGTAGAGCTTCACATAGCGTGTAGAGATTATTAAGATTTAATTTATAAAAAAAAGTATATAAAACATGAAATTAATGTATTTAAGAGGTTAAGGATGAAATTTAAATATGACAAAAACAATAGGGAGAAAATCATATATATTATCATGATTTTAAAGTTATACAAATAAGAAAAAAAATCAGTTTTCACAACTTGATCTAAGAAAATTAATAATTGGAGTAAGGATGACAAAAAGATCATATTACTTTAAACCTTTCCTAAAATATTTGGATAATCAAAAAGAAGTTATGTGAGAAAAAAAAGGTTCAATTTAAGGATTCAAACGTTTGATATAAATGTATATATAATATCTTAATCATTGAATCATATCCAACAACGAAGTCCAAAAAAAGTTCACCTTAATTGGATACAACAACAAAGTCCTCACATGACCAAGGCTCCAAAATTTAGATGGTACTATTTTTCTCCTTTATAATGAGGGTTTGAATGTCTTGTCTCAATGAAAAGAGTAGATGCGATTCGTGTCGAAATTTAAATGGTACTTTTAGCTTTTGGAGGGAGTGATGCCGACATTCTCTTTTGACCTACACATGTGACATGTAAAAAGGGACATCTTCACATATAAATTTATTACGGCAAAATGCACTTTTTATATTATGACAAAATGGACGTCCCTGACGTTCATTTAGTTTTAAGTTTCAAAAGGAATATTTTTAGCCTATGAAGCTTCAAAAATGATTCTAAATAGTCCTTGAAGCTAATTGGTTATTAGTCGACAAACGAAAGATGATATATAGCCATTATTTCTTGAGTGGATCGTGATTATGTGGCAAAATATATTATTTTTATACTACTTTTCTTCTATATACAGTGTGACATAGCAAATGAAAATGTATTCTTTGTTCCTCCCACTCTCCCTCCTCTCTCCTCCTCCTTCCCCAGTGAACCGTCACCGCCTGTTGCTGACAAACGGTTTGTAATGGTTCGAACAAACCTCTCTCTCCTTCTCCTCCTTCAACGTACCGTCGCCACCCGTTGCTGAAAAACGATTTTTAAAGGTTCAAACTTTGTTGAGATCATAATGCAAATAAACCTTCTTAACGAACACAAAATGGATGTCCTTGAATAACAGCAATGGGTGTATTGGAAAACATCAATACTTTCTTCATCTAACCATCGACCCGTCATTTTCATATATCCATGAATTCGACATCAATAATATTTTCACTATATCGAAAAAAATCGACTAAGTATTAAAAAAATCAACAAAAAGATCATTTAGAAGCACATAATATTAATAATAAGAATTTTAAACTTATCAAAAAATGGTAAAATATTATTTTTTTTCTTTATTAATTTAGATAATTTTTGTTAACTTTTGTATAAATTTTCTTCAAATATCCATTAAGATTGATATTTTGACAATATTTCCACGATATTGGCATTTAAATCCTTGCATCTAATCTCTCGTAGAGTATAGCTCAATTGGTTAATGCATTAGTAATCTCTCTAATGAGTTTATCTACAAATAAAGTTACCGACTCCTAAAATCAAGGACCTCTGACAATGATTTCAAGTACACAATAACCTCAATATTTATAAATACCTTTTTTATATATTCGTGAGTGTCTTGCACGCACCTCAATTAATCTCACGGAACAACCATCTAACCCTACTACATTTGGTTGCCAAAGTAACTCGTAAGATATTAAATTCTAGGTAGGTGACTACCATGGTTTAAACGCATTCCCTTTAAACCATTTACTATTTACATTGACCTTTATTGACCACTAGATCACACCATGATGATTCAATAATAACAGTACTGTCAAAGAGTAATATCTTCAATTGTACAAAATAACTTTGGAGAAATCCATGAAAGTTGTTCTTTCCATATTTTGAAACATTTTCTAAGTTAAGTTAATGCAACACAAACAATCATAGAAATTCAAATTCATTCTCTTGTTTGTCAACAACTTAATGGTGGTGGTCGGTCAACACCTAAGTACTTTCCTCAAGAAAATAAATATAAAAGCAAAAATGTAGATGGAGGGTGTCATGTGTTCTGAGAGTAGAACATGGGACAGCAAAAGAAGAGTCCTATTCTGACAATTCACCCGAAAATTTTCTAGTTTCCAACACATAATTGTAATGAGAGCAAGAGCAACAACTGGAGAGCAGTGGAAACAAGAAAAAATAATGAAACAGAAACACAACACAACACAAGTGGTGGCCCAAACCCAATGGCCCAATCATTGACTTACACGTGGCTTTGATGCTGACAATTTTAATAATGGCGGGCCCTTGCATTCTGATTTTCCTTTTTCTATTTCGTTTTGGGCACTGTTTTCAAATGGCAAAAAAAGATTCAGAAGTGAACCCAAAAATGGGTGCTATGGCAAGTTCTATCATACATAAGCCCCTTCTGTCAAAAATGTGCCTCTATAGAATGACTTTTATGATTTTGACTGAATCTACAAAATGTAGTTCTAGAGAGATCCCAACTTACCTGAATCTTGGGTATTTTGTCCTGTCATTCAGTTGATATTAAGACTAAACTCTCAGTTCACTTAAATTTAAGCTTCATGCATAATCTTAAACGAACGAAACAGTAAAATGAGGATATGCTTTAGATTTAATAAACGAAAATTGTCCTTGAGAGTTCTACAAACTGAGATCCAAGGATCAGCAAACGATTCCATTCACCTCGTAAATCTAGTTAAACCATCAGGCCTTCATGGAGTCAGCTCGGGGCCTCCATAGTCCAAGCCTATACTTGTGAATATACTTCAATATCAGCTTCCTCTGCCACAGACCATACATTAAAATTTAGGCCAACAAAGAGTGAAGACATCAATCAAACCAGTAAACCACTACTGTTCTAAATAAATACACGGTATCTATAGAATTTTGCTCTTGCCAAAACTTGTATCCTTCAACAATAATGACTGAGATTTGGAACCAGCTGTGGGGCATGCGGTGACCCCTATAGCAAAAAGAGAGTAAAGGAAGGTTGGGTCATACTGGATGAGCTTAGTACCAAAATTCCTAATGCCTCGCGAATCTGGGCCTTGAAGCGGATACGGGTGCCCTCGAGTATATGGGAGCAAAGCTCCGACTCCCAATTATCATTTAGGATGGGAACTAGTAGGTGGAGAAGAGGTGCAAATCTAGTAACTTATATAGGATAAGTATGGAAGCATTTTGATGCATTGCATCTAACCAGACGTCTACGGTATCAAATAATTTTATACTAGATAGATCTTACCGAACGTGATTGCATTAGATCCAGATTCAACAACAGAAATGTCATTTGGGTAAGACTAATAATTGCGAAATCCATGATATACATGTTATTTTACTAATTCTTTTAAAAACATCTTTGATGTTATAAGCGAAATATTAACTAGATAATAACTTCTTAATATTGTCTTTTAAATAACCAAAGAATTAAATTGTTGATTATATTTTATAACAGAGATTTAGGAAATTCGAAAGGGTCTATGAAGCATCTAGTGAATTGGAATATCACTTCCAAGTCTCGTGAGGGCGGTGGCCTTGGAATCGGGGGTCTAGCTCAGAGCAACAATGCACTTTTGGCAAATTGGGGCTGGCGTTTCGACCTTGAAACGTGCTCTCTTTGGCGTATGGTGGTGGACAGTATTTATGGCTCCACTTCTTTCGGCTGGTCAGCAGCCACTCGTCCTAATCTTTGCCATCATTGTCCTTGGAGTAGCATTTTTAAGCAATGGAATTTTTTGGAACATCATTCACAGTTCAAAGTTGGTAGTGGAGATGGTGTTTCCTTTTGGCACCACATTTGGATTGGCAAGGAGGCTTTAAAGGTTTGTTTTCCTAAAATATTTTTGCTTTCTCCTCTTCCAAATGCCCGTCTCTCAATTTTGGGACTCCAATTCTCGTGCTTGGCATATTGAAACTAGGAGATCCCTAAAAGATGATGAATTTGATACCGTTGCTAGCCCTACTTAGCTCGGCATTGGTTAATGAGGAAGCTGAAAGTAGACATTGGTCCTTGGAACCTTCCAGAGCCTTTTCGGTAGCCTCTTTATGCAAGCAGCAGACTTCTTCATCTTTGCCTAAGGATTTGTTCGATGCTCTGTGGAAATCTAAAAATCCAAAGAGAGTAAATGTTCTCATTTGGATTCTCCTCTTTGGCAAAGTTAATACAGTGGATATTCTTCAAAGGAAAAACCCTTCAATGGTGTTTTTTCCTTCCATTTGCTGTTGCTCACTGTGTGGAAAGTCTTGTGAGTTCCAACAACATATATTCTTTCAGTGTTCTTTCTCGCCTACTTGCTGGAAGCTTTTCTTTGAGATCTGAGGTTTCTTGGGTTTTTGACTTCGAAGTTGCAAAAAATGTTGAATCTTTGTTGATTGGCCCGTGTCTCGCGTCAAAGGCGGGTCTTCTTTGGTGTAATGGAGTCAAAGCTTTGCTGTCCGATATTTGGTTCGAGAGAAATCAAAGGATTTTCAAGGGGAAACGTCGAGATCCGGTTGAAGTTTTCTACCTAACAAAGTTTAAGGCTTCTCAATGGTGTGCTCTTTCCAATGTTTTTGTTAATTTCTCTCAGAGTATGATTTGTTCTAATTGGGAGGCTTTTATAACTCCCCCTTAGCTCTTGTTTGTGTTATGTTTAGTTTGTTGTTCTGTTGTCCATTTTGTTTACGTTCTCACTCCTTCATTAAATCAATGAAAATTTGAACAACTTTCTATTCCTTTTCATTAAATCAATGAAAATTTCGTTTCTTGTTCAAAAAGAAATATTTTATAACAAGGATCTAAAGTTTAAGTAAATCTATTCCATTGTGAAAGTTATAATATCAATATAAATCTTATAAAAGATTGTTAATGAATTTTCAGCTCCATTTTATTATTTAAATTTCTTAGCGCGCGTAAGGAAAGTGATTTCAAAATTAGATTAATCCATGAACACCACAGTTATATGAACATTTGAGAAATAGAGAAGGGCTACTTTAAGGATCTTACAAGAATATAAAAGTTTCTCCCATAACTTTTTACTGATGTTCTTTTTTTTTTTGGTTGATATCCGTGACTGTCCGAGCCAGCTTACGCAGACCTTGACTAAACTTACGGGACAACCTGACCTTACAACATTTGATGCCGGAAAACACATAGAAATTACTAATTCTTAAGGTAGGTGGCCATCATGGGGTTTGAATCCATTCCCTCTTAATTAACCCTCTTACTAATTCCTAAATTTTTACCGATGCAAAGGCAAACAATACCTTTTTTTAAGAACCCTGTAAGAAGGGATCCAATCCAAAAGAATAACACCGAATAGGTAACTATAAAAAGCCTTAGAAACCGACAACCATAATGTATTTTTTTTTATTAAGAAACAATTTTATTGATGTATGAAATTACAAAAAGAAGGGGAGATAAAGAAAACACCTGTTACCAAAGGAGTTACATGAAACTTCTCCAATTGGTCAAAAGTGTAGCCATACTATATGAGTAAGAAAGTATAGATGCTTTACACCAAGACATAGCAAGGAAAATGATATTATCAAAGAGTCTAGATAGACAAATTCTTTTCAGTGAAGAGTCGATGGTTCCTTTCATTCCAAAATGTTCACAGAAAGGCTCTAATGATATGCTTCACATGATCGTCTTTTCCTTCTTGAATGAGTGGCCAACAAGAACATAAGTGAGCAGAAGCTTTATATCGATTGGGAGGGCAACTTTCCAATTGAAAGCTGGGAGGATCTCATTACAAAACTTTGTAGCAACGGGGCAAGTAAGGAGGAGGTGAGGCTGTGTTTCCTCATTTCTTTTACAAAGGATGCACCATTGGGAAAGAGAAGGATGCACCATTGGGAAAAGAGGGTGAGATAGGGTAATCTCCACTGGATTTTGTCGTTTGTATTAATGGCCTTGTGAGCAAGTTCCCAAATGAAGAATTTAATTTTTTCTGGGTAGGTTTCACCCCATATAGCTTTGGCGAGGGAGTAGGTGTGTGAGGTTTTTTGGGTCAAATCTGTGAGGAGAGACACCCACGACATATTAAATCTAACAATCTCCCAAATTTCCTCCCAAGAACTCTCAACCCTAAAAATTTTACTATTCTTCTCGAAATAGATACCCCACAAAGTAGCGAAAAAAACAAGTAGGCCACAACAGGATTCCTCTTGTAACATATAAATAGACAATACTATTTAATATATATACACACACATATATATACATATACTCTAGATGTATTAATCGAGTAACTAGACAAGAAAAGAACTGTCTTACTCTTCTAACAAGTAGAAATAGTGAAAGGCATTAAAATAAAATACATTACAACAACTAGCCATCAGAATATTAGCACCAAAAGAAGTTATAAGCAAAACAAAGAAGGACCACTTGGTTATCAAAATTGCTACCTCTAAAAGTTTTATGAAATGTAGGAAGCCTATCCTTTTAGTTTTTTTTGGCAAATCAAATAGGTCAGTTTGCTTGCTAATCCATGTCAATCACATGAATGTTGTTTCCATGACTGCAGATATATGTTTGGGAATTGAAACCACCAGGTGTTTGACCGTCTTTGCAAAAACAATCACCAGAAGAAGGATAAGGTTGAGGAATACTTACATGTTTGCATGGGATTCCAAGTTTTTTCAGCTTAAGTGTGCGAGTGACGAGCAACTTTTGGAAGTCTCCAATCTCTGATTCAAGTTTGGGCACATGTGACTCCACCCCATGCCCAACGCCATTTAAAAACTCTGGTATCCCGACTTTCACTAAAACATAAATGACAAAAATCAAGCACATATAATCTTATCTTATCAACTCTAAATCCAAACATTTAATCCTAGCCACAACAAAAGCATAGCAAACCAATGATGACCAACAAGTAACAGATAAAGATATCAGTACCAATGGAAAAATTAAGCATTATATGACTTCACCATACAGAAAGATAAGTAATGCTTTTCACTTCTCTGAAATCCTATATCACTTCTTTTTGCTCCCACTTCCAATTACTAAATGGTGAATCATGCCCTGGCTTCTGCTAGGGTAATAAATTGTCATTCAATGAATAGATGAGAAATAAACTCCATGTCTGTTTCTGTTCATGCTTCCATTCGGTAAACCATACCATACATTTCTTCACTCCTATTTTGGCTCACACAACATACGTTAAAAGTCATTTTTCTATCCACATTCCAGAAATCAAATTGATTATAAGCTCAGCTCTAGGATCAAGATGAGAGACAAGTTTTTATACTGATAAGATTGAAAAGGAAAAAAAAAGCACTTACCGACATATGGGGTTGATTTAGAAAAGAATCTAGCAAATAAAGGAGCTGAGTATGGTTGGAGTATTGACCTATTGTTGGAGAAAATCTGCCTCCATGCCATCCTTGTCGCTGTGCACGTGAAATCCATCAGTCTCTAATGGTATACTTTTTCTCTAGGAAGGTCTTAAAGCTTTGAAGTAACCAATTCCATTTAACACTTATCTTAAATTTTGTGGGTTCATTCTTTAATACTTCAAAGTTCAAAGACTGTCAGAAGTAATGTGCATTTGACAAACAATCTATGTAAATGAATCATGGAAAAGATTTTGCCACATTCAATTGCAAATGAAAAAACAGATTCATAAAGTTAACAAACCAAACATGGTTCAATAGCCCACATGTGTTTTAGCCTTCTCTTTTAATTACCCACATGTAGTTCTAACCAACGGATCTCCAATAAATTCCATACTTAAAAAGAGAAAAAAAAAACTCCAGAAAACTCTATCAAATAAACAGAATACTTTTACTCCCCCACCAACCATCAACCACTAATTCAAAGACAGAAAATAAAAACTTTTCTATCCCCAGAAAAAATCAGAGCCTCTCTCTGAAGCCAGTCATTATAATTTCATTTATGCTAAAAATATACTAGATTAAATTGTTCTCTTTCTATTTTCCAACAGAAATATCAATAAGCGAATGAACTTAAATATAGATAAAATCTGCAAATGCTTTCCCATTGTATATTAAATGTTCATTCACCATATGTCACGTCTTAAAAACATGTCAAATCATACCGTTGTTAATCTCCAAAACTAAAACTTACAATACACGATACATTACGAAACTAAACGAACTGTTATTAATGAAGTGTTCAAGAACAGTGGCTTTTATAGAGATCCATTTACCAAATACAGGTATAATAAAGAGGGTTTTAAACAGACCAAACAGACTTATGAAGATAGAATAACTAAAGACAATTTCAACTAACTGTCTAACCAACAGTTACTAGAATATAACTACTAACTGAATACAACAATATTAATGGTTTTTCTTAACCACTTTGTACCTAGACACCCTGATATCTAACATAATCATGCAAGTTCTACTTTTCTAACCCTCACAACTCAATTACAATAACAATTCATCACTTTCTTTATCCAAAATAACTCTAAACTACTCAAAACTCCTCGTAAACATAATCAAGTACATAAGTCAGACAATACGTCCCATTCTCAATTAATCAAAACTATAAAGAACATACATCAATTATAAGAATGATGCCTTCTCTACACAAGATTTTCAGCATGCTAACACACCAGTCCATAACAAAGATTCAATATCAAGAACCAATAAATACACAAGACACAAGTATGATCCAGTACATACATCACAACCATGGTATTAAATACCCATCGACATGTCGACATTTCCATCGTCATTTCCATGTATCCATGGATTCAACATCGACATGAGAGGTAAATCGATATTTCTATAATATAAGAAAAAACATCAATAAAATATAAAAAATATCAACAAAATGTCCCTAATATAGACATAATATTAATATCAATCATTTTATAAATCATGAGATGTTTATTTGTTAATTTAAATATTTTTTATGATTTTCTTATTTTTATAACTTTTCTAGAAATATCCTAACATCGACATTTCCATGAAATTTGGACTTCGACATTTTCATCGACATTGACATTTAAAACCTTCCTCACAACTCATATCAATCATACAAAATCTCATCGGCAACTTCAACATGTTATTTCATCAATCCCACATGTTTATAACCAGTGAAATAGCAATAATGTGCATCAATAACATAATGAACAGAGTTTAAGCAAGTAAAGCATAAGCAACCAAACAAACAGCACACAAGCACTCAAGTAAGGGACCACTTACAATTAAAATATAGTCAAATCAAGCCTTAAGCATACAAACACACGATATACACCGGTGAGAAACCACTTACTGAACAAAAAAATTCTAAATTAATCAGAAACAAAGTTCTCATAAATTAATTAAGCCAACCACTAACTGAATCAACCTAATAGGCCCTAAAGGACCAGATTGACGAGATTTTACCGAGTGGATATTTGCTTAAATCCGAATAGGTTCGTTCGAGGTAGTTTTGCTGAGTTCGAGGTCGCGCTCCAGAAGAAGTTGTCGCCACGAGGTTGGGTTCGTGGTGGGCCTTTCCGCCGCCGCTCGTGGTGGAAGCTCGCCGGAGTTTTGGTAATCGCGCGGATCTCCCTGCGAAGGTACGTGAGAGGGGGAAAGGAGGAGGAAGAAAGAGATACAAGACCCTAATTTTTTAAAAAAGGAATATGTTAGAAATTGATTTAATAATTGCATTTAAAAGTAAAGTTTGGTGTTTATAATTTTATTAAGAAACGTAAATATTTGATAACTTTATATATTTGTTGGTTTTCGATTTTTCAAGAAATACTTCTAAAATTGTATAGAAATTTTAAAAACCAAATGGTTCATTTATTAACGTTTCCGCTCATTATTCCTTGTTTCCAAGTTTATTAAGAAATCTAAATATTTTCTCTTAAAAAAAAATTAAATATTCGACAATTATATATTTTTTCTGTTTATCATCTTTTAGAAGCATTTTCAAAATTGTATACAAATTTTGGAAATAGATTTCTCTTTTTCCTTCGTGCTTGTTTTTAATCTATTCTAATATAAACAAATATCTTGTTTTATCATTTTTAATACATTGGAGGTTGGGAGCAATGCAATTCTTTTTTTATTATTATTATTAAAAAGGAAGAAACAAAAATCAGAAACGGAAACGTTATCGAACGGCCCTAAGTTTCTTGTTTCTGTTTTCATTTTGTTCCACAATATAAATAAAATTGTTTTATCCTTCTTCAATCCATGAGTGTTTGTCCTACAATTTTATTTTTCTTTATTAATAGGAAGAAACTTTACCGAAGTTTTAAGAAAAATAAGTTGACCAAATAGTAAACGGATATTTTCTTTAATAATTCTATTTTCAAAACTTATTCCAAATATATGCCAATATCCAAACTATTTCCAAGAATAATGCTTGGAAAATAGATGGTGGTCTCTTGAAGAGACAACATATGAATAGACATCAGCAGGGTCGTCTCTTCAAGAGACGACTTGCAGACGTGGTGCTCGATTGGCGCCACGTCAAAATCTTAAAAAAAAATTAAAGTATGGTTGTCAAGAGTGTTGGGTAAATATACGTTGTATATATGAACTACGTAATACTAACGTAACTGGCCACGATATAAATTTGAACAACTTGATGAACACCAAAACTTGATAAAAATAGTCGAGGCACATTTCAATAGCGTTGACCTAAAGACAATTATTCGCTCTGTACAAGTTGCTAGCAGACTACAGCAATCGTCTTAGCAGGATACAACGACTCTCCGGTAGAACTGCAACCTCGAACTACTCGGATATGGCAGAACTCTTAGATACTTGCTCTCAACATAAACAAGAACAAGAATTCAAAAAGAAGAGAGAATTCTTGTGAGAGGAGGAGAATACTCAATTGAGGTATGCTTTGATATCTCAAAATGAAGAAATCCACAACTATATATAGTTGTACAAACAAGTAACATCTCACTCAAAATTAAACACATATGTAACATTTTTACATATGTTACATAGGTAACTTTAACACATGTATTTGTAACTTTAACAAAATAAAGAAACAATTTTTCATTTAAATACATAACTTCAAGTTTAATAAATAAAGAAATAAAACCACTAAAGAAATAAACATATTCACAAAGTGTACTTCAAGTACTTTAAAACTCTGACTAACGCATTCCAATGATCATGCCCGGGATTGCTAGTGTATCTTGCCAATCTTCCTACTGAATAGGCAATATCAGATCTTGTACAATTCATTATGTACATTAAACTACTCATAACTCTAGAGTATTCTAGAGAATATACACATTCACCATTATTCTTCTTCAACTTACAATTTGGATCAAACGGAGTAACTACTAGCTTACTCTCAAAATGACCAAATTTTCTCAACACTTTCTCCATGTAATGAGATTGAGAAAGTATATATCCACTTGGATTTCTTGTTATTTTGATTCCAAGGATAACATCAGCAAAACCAAGGTCTTTCATATCAAGTTGGAATTCAACATCCTTTTAGTGGAATCAATGACACTTCTAGTTGTGCCAATTATCAACATATCATCTACATATAAGCAAACAATGACGCAATCTTGATCTATGGTTTTAACATAGACACATTTATCACACTCATTTATCTTAAATTCATTAGATAACATAATATGGTCAAACTTCTCATGTCATTGTTTGAGTGCTTGTTTCAACCCATATAGAGACTTGACAAGTTTACAAACCTTATTTTCAAGTCCTTTTACAACAAACCCTCCAGGTTGTTCCATATATATTTCTTCATCTAAATCTCCATTTAAAAATGCAGTTTTTACATCTATTTGGTGTATTTCCAAATTTTGTAAAGCTGCTATAGCAATTAACATCCTTATAGATGTAATCCTCGTCACTGGAGAATAGGTATCAAAGAAATCTAGCCATTCTTTCTGATGATAGCCTTTAGCTACTAAACGGGCTTTATATTTATCAATAGTGTCATCATCCTTTAGCTTTCTTTTGAAAATCCATTTACTTCCAATTGGTTTAGTTCCAGGAGGTAAATCAATCAATACCCAGGTATTGTTTTGCAAAATGGACTCTATCTCACTATTGATAGCTTCTCTTCAATAAGGTGCATCTGGAGATGACACAGCTTCTTGAAAATTTTGAGGCTCCCCATCTATCATATATGTTATGAAATCAGATCCAAAGGAAGTAGCTTTCTTAGCTCTTTTGCTTCTTATAGGCTCGATCTCAGTTTCCTGATCGTTTTGATCTTTCGAAGAGCTAGCCTCATGATTTCTTTTAGTACCATTACCTTTCGGTCTTTCTTCTTTAAAAGGAAATATATCCTCAAAGAATTCAGCTTGAATAGATTCCATGACAGTATTATGATTAATATCATGTATTTCTGATTTAATCACCAAGAATCTATAAGCAGCACTATGCGTAGCATAGCCTATAAAGACACAATCAACTGTCTTAGGTCCAAGTTTTGTCCTTTTTGGTAAAGGAACCTGTACCTTTGCCAAACACTCCCACACTTTCAGTATTTTATATGAGGATAACTTCTTTTTCCACACTTCATAAGGTGACTTATTAGTCTTCTTATGTGGAATTTTATTTAAGATAAAATTTGCTGTAAGCAAAGCCTCCCCCAAAAATTATGGGGTAAACCTGAACTATTTAACATGCAATTAACCATGTCCTTTAAAGTTCGGTTCTTTCTTTCAGCTACACCATTTTTTTATGGTGTATAAGGTGTTGTAGTTTGATGGATTATACCATTAACTTCACAAAATTCAGAAAGTGATGATGATTCATATTCACCACCTCTATCTAATCTAAGCACTTTTATTTTCCTCTCAAGTTGATTTTCAACTTCTGCCTTATATGTTTTGAAAACATCTAAGGTCTTATCTTTACTATGTAATAAATATACATAGCAATATTTACTGCAATCATCAATGAATGTGACAAAGTATCTCTTACCACCTCTTGTGGGAGTATTTTTCAAATCACATACATCACTATGAATTAAATCAAGTAACTCATTACTTCTTTCCACAGATGAAAATGACTTTCTAGAAAACTTTGATTCAACACAAACTTCACATTTGTGTCTATTATCAATGTTAAAATTAGGCAATAGTCCTACACTTACCATTCTTTGTAAAGAATGATAATTGACATGCCCTAGCCTAGAATGGCATACATCACACAACTCAACAATATAAGCAAAAGAGTTGTTATTATTATTGTAGTTCTTGGGCACTTGTGTCAGTACATTCAATTTGGACATGCCATCATTCAGATAGCCATTTTCCATATACATACCCCCCCTTAGTCAGAATAAACTTATTTGACTCAAATACAAGCTTGAACCCATTTTTGTTAAGTAGGGTTCTTGACACAAGATTCTTTCGAATTTCTGGCACATGCCACACATCAGTGAGGGTAAGTATCTTTCCAAAAGTCCATTTCAGCAGGGCTTTTCCTCTGCCTTCCACTGAGGTTGCTAAAGCGTTTCCCATGTACAGTTTATCACTGCCATCTAGCTTCTCATAAGTGGTGAATAGTGATTTATCCTCACAGACGTACCTAGTAGCACCAGTATCAATCCACCAGCCTTTGGTGTCAGAGGCCATATTTACCTCAGAGATGATAACAATTAAATTGTCATCTTCCACAGTGTTGGTCTGGTTGTTGGAGCTTTGTCTCTTATTGTGTCTACAATTTGCAGCTATATGGCCACTCTTGCCACAAACCCAGCAGATTGCACGAATGCGCTTGTTAGCATCATTCCTTGGCCCAAGATTCACATTCTTTGTCTTGGATCGATTCTTCTAGGGATGATGCTTTGAAGCTTCAGCAATATGGGCATTAGCTTCAACTTTACGTGGCTCTTTGTCTCTCTTTCTGTTGTCCTCTTCAATACGGGAGTTTCACAGTAAGATTCTCCATGGACAACTCATTTCGCTTGTGTTTGAGATAACATTTGAATTCTCTCCAAGCAGGAGGCAATTTCTCAATCACAGCAGCAACTTGGAATGATTCATTAATGATCAATCCTTCACTTTGCAAATCACTAGTGATAATTTGCAATTATTCCAACTGGTTGACTACCAACTTGGTATCAACCATTTTATAATCTAAGAATTTTCCAACAAGGAATTTCTTAGTACCAGCATCTTCCAGCTTATACTTCTTGTCTAATGCCTCCCACAATTACCTTGAAGTATCAAAGGCATTGCAGTAGACATTATACAAGGTGTCACCTAGGCAACTCAGAATGTAGTTGCGACATAGGAAGTCTAAATGCAATCATGCTTGCTTGGAAGCTTTAGTTTCAGGAGTGATTGCTTTTAGCAGAGTAGTTGGGCATACATCCTTTAAGATGTGAGCAAGATTCAAGGTGGTAAGGTAGAAGATCATCTTCTGTTGCCATCTTTTGAAGTTTTCTCCCTTGAACTTCTCTGGTTTTTCAGCATGAGATTTGACAATGGTCGATCCCATCATCGAAGAAGCATTGGCAGAAGTGTTTGCAGCCATCAGGTAATTGTCTTCAGATTGTTGGGTAAATATACGTTGTATATATGAACTGTGTAGTACTGACAAACAAATTACAACGTAACTGGCTACAAACGATATAAGTTTGAACAACTTGATGAACACCAAAACTTGATAAAAATA